GCTGGAAGTGGGGTTGAGTTAGGGCTAAGGTCAGGACTGGAGTGCAGGATGGGTCAGAGGTAGGGTTAGGCTCGGGGTCTGGGTTGGGGCTGGTGTTGGATTCCATGTCAGACTGGGGCCCCCGCGGAGTCATCCTGGGGTCCATATTCCATGCCCTCCCGCAGGGCATGGAGTACCTGGGCTCCCGCCGCTGCGTGCACCGCGACCTGGCAGCCCGTAACATCCTGGTGGAGAGCGAGACGCATGTCAAAATCGCTGACTTCGGCCTCGCCAAGCTGCTGCCTCTCGACAAAGACTACTACGTGGTCCGCGAGCCAGGCCAGAGCCCCATCTTCTGGTAGAGACCTCCCCCCCGCCCCCCCCCTCCCCCCCCCCTACCCAGGCCCCTCCCCTACTCCCACCTTCCTGGCCCCGCCCCTCCTCCCCAGGGTCTGGGGCCCGCCCTGGCCGCGCCCCCACCGCCCCGGCCCCTTCCGGACCACGCTCCTTTTCTTGTTCTGGCTCCGCCCTGACCCCGCCCAGGCCCCGCCCTGGGGCGCCACAGGGTTGGAGACTTTCTCATAACTCCCACCTACCGTGACCAGCTACCCCAGTCCGAGGCTGCGTCCTTTCCCGTCCTATGCCTTACTGTCGTCCCCCAAGGCCTCCCTGTTCCCCTCCAGGTACGCCCCAGAGTCCCTCTCGGACAACATCTTCTCGCGCCAGTCGGATGTCTGGAGCTTCGGGGTCGTCCTGTACGAGCTCTTCACCTACAGTGACAAGAGCTGTAGCCCCTCAGCCGTGAGTCGGCACCCCTGGACCCCCAAGACCCTCCTCCCCACCAACCCCTTCCTGGCCAACACCCGTCCTGTTTATGCCCGCGTCCCTCTCTTGCTCAGGGTCCCCTGGTCCCAGCATTAGAGGCTCCAGTAAGACCCCTTTTCACTATGGCAGACCCCCACCTCCCACACCACCACAGGCAGCCCCTCCCCCATGCATCACAGACAATTCCTCCTCCTCCATTAAGGAGGGCCCCTTCCCCCACCACGGGTGGGTGATTCCCTTCTTCCCTTCACTGTGGCTGACCCCCACATCACGGGCGGCCACTCCCCCTTCCATCATGGATGGCTCCTCCCCCACCTCGGGCCCTCCCCCTTGGCTCCAGGAGTTCCTGCGGATGATGGGATGTGAGAGAGATGTGCCAGCCCTCTGCCGCCTCCTGGAGCTGCTGGCCGACGGCCAGAGGCTGCCCGCACCTCCTGCCTGTCCTGGTGAGGTGAGCACTGGAGGGCCTGCCTCAGTTTCCCACTTTGTAGGTTCACCAGGGGGCCTGGGCAAGCCTGCTGGTCCCTCTGGGTCTCTCCACCACAGACATCTCTTGATTGAGGGCAGGGACCAGAGCACGAGGCTGAAGGGGATTTCTGGCCTCTACTTTGCTGCTCTCTCACTGTATGGCAAGTCACAAACACTTTCAGAGCCTCAGTTTACCTGTCTCCAAAATGGGAATAACAATGCCTTATAGGGTGGGAGAGGATCAGATTAGCTAACATCTCTCCATTGCTCAGCTCTGAGCCTGGCATACCGTCGGCGCTCAATAAATGATGGTGACTCTTACAGTTTCTCATCACAGCTCTTGTGGAAGTGTCTGACATGTGGTTGGTCATTCACAAATTAATCTGTTCGGGCCACAAACATTTATTGAGCGCTGACTGTGTGCCGGCTCTGTGCTGGGTGCTGGGGACCCAGCAGGGGACGAAGAGATACTACCCCTCCTCCCTGTAACCGGCAGAAGCTAACAAGAACATTCTGGTGGTGATCAATGTCTGGAAAGAGATGGGGGTGTGTGGTCAGGGATGGCCTCTTAGAGGGGGTGAAGGAGGAAGAGGATCTTACCCATGGGGAAAGCTGGGAGAGGGCATTCTCAGCGGAGCACACAGCAGGTGCAAAGGCCCTGAGGTGGGAATGAGTTTGGTGTATTTACAAAATGAGATGGGGGCAGATGTGGCTGCATGGAACAAGAGAGGAGGTGATGGAGGTGATGGTAGAGGGAGGGAGGCAGGGGAGGTGATGAAATTTTGTTCTAAGATCCATAGGGAGCCATGGGAGGCTTTGGAGCAAGGGAGGGATGGAGTCTAATTTCTATTTTAAAACTGTGAACAGGAGTCATGTCCTTCCTACCACTCACATGTGACCCTGTTGTCTCTTCCCACCCCCTCAGGTTCATGAGCTCATGAAGCTGTGCTGGGCCCCTAGCCCACAAGACCGGCCACCATTCAGCGCCCTGGGCCCCCAGCTGGATGCACTGTGGAGTGGAAGCCAGGGATAGTGTCCAGAGGCATGAGACCCTCACCTGCTTGTCTAGAGGGAGAACCCCATTCTCTGTCTTTTTTATATCTCCTGCACACAGACCTCTGGGTTCTGGTCTCCATGGACTGGCTGTGTGACCTTGATCAGGGACCTGCCCCTCTCTGGCCTCCCGCTTCAGAGACCCCCTCATGGGGCAAATGACATTGCACTTGGGGGAGCACCCCTGGCTTGTAGAGCAACAGCAGCCTCGTAGCATTGGGAACTTGTAAAGATTCAAGACAGATGCAATGGTGGGGTCTACTGAGCCCCCACCCCCAGAACTGAGGGACCAGAGTTCTTCCCAACCTCTCAGGGCCTGGCCTGGAGCTTCCTGTCTCTCATTTCCAGAGGAGACATTATATAGCTTTAAATATGTGATCTCAGGCTTCTATTCCCCCCTCCCTCTTTAGCTGGAGGAAGCCAAGGACAAGAGAGCTGCCCTGGCTGAAAATTCACTTTTTGTGGGGAGCCTGTGTGACTGTTTAGAATTGTGTAACAGACCAGGAGAAGCTGATGTCCCACTCCACCCAAACTGAACCTGAGTGTCCCAGGGCTTCAGTTTTCCTCTCTGTGCGCTGGGGCCCTTTCTGTCTGGACCAGAGGATCACACAACTGATGACAATGGAGCCTAACAGGAGTTTTTCAGTGGGTGAAGGAAGGAAAGGCATTCTTGGCAGAGGGAACAGCATGGTGAAAGGAGGAGGCTCAGAGTACAGAGGTTAAGAGCGCAGGTGTTGGAGCCCATGGTTCTGCCACTTATTTGCTGTGTGATGGTGGGAGAGTTGCTTCCTCTCTCTGGGCCTCAGTTCCATCCTCTGTATAATGGGCAATAGTGTTGGCCCTTTGGCTGTACAGAATCAACTTCTGGAGGCTTGTGAGAAGGCATCTTGTGCAAGTTAAGCTTACCCCACCACTCCTTCACACCAGTCTGCAAGGTTTTACTGCCACTTTTTGCCTCCCTGGAAAACGCTTATTCATCTCTCAGAACCCCAGCTATCACCTCCTTGCAGCGTTCCCTAGCGAACATTCTCCCACCACTCCCAGTCAGCCCTGTACTTCTGACCCTAGGGCTGGGGTGGTGTCTGCGTCCAGCTCCATCTCTTCTGACGTGGAGGCTCCTTGGGGGCTGGGCTGGGCACAGAGGGGACTCTGGGAGTGTTTGTTGAATGAATAAAGAAGTTCAGTGAAAAGGATGGTTTGTTGCTGGACTTGGGCAATGGGGATCCTTGTGGGGGTGTGAGCGGGGGAGGAATGTGCTTAGGGCTGGGGGATAGAGACCCCTGGGGGCCACAATGGGAGCCTCAGGGCAGGCTGGGGGAGGAGGGACAGGAGGATGGGGCCCTCGAGGACAGAAGCCCTCCCCCCAGCCCCAGCTGCTGGCCTTGGCACTGTCCTGTGGAACTGATTACAGGCTCTTGGTGGGTGGAGGGAACAGGCTGCTCTAGTGGGGGCCAGAGAGCAAGGCCTGGTTGGGAGGGTTAGGCTATGGGGAGGGGTCCAACATTAATGGGGGCCAAACCAGTCCCTCATTTGCTCAGCACTGCTGGAAAGATTTGGAGAGTGACAGAGACAGGGAGAGAAAGGCCAAGAGAGACTCGAGAGAGACAGAGGGAGCAGGGGAGAGACAGAGACAGAGATCTCTGTGCCTACTGTCGTAGCCTGCTTTGGTGAAAAGGGGGAGGGGCTGCAAGGCAGGGTTTTCAGCTCAGGGTCTCACCCGCGTTGGGTTGAGTAACCTCCCTCTCTGCCAGTTTCCCTCCTTGGTAAAACTGGCATCCAGACTGGCACCTGGTAGAGGCCCTCCATCCCCTGCCCAACCCAAGGAGACCCTGGTGTGGGAGAGGCAGAACCGACCAAGACTCGCAGCCCCAGGGCCCATCCTCTTGTGACCTTGGGCAAGTGTGGGGGGTCCCCTCTCTGAGCCTCAGTTTCCTTATTTGTCCACTAATAAGGACAACAAGGTTCTGAATGGCCCTGGTCTCAGTTGGTTGGATGCCCACTGCCACCATCCCATGGAATTATTATTTCTCAGTTTATCTATTTCTCCTCTTTAAAATGGTTAAAAAATAAAGACTCCTCAACCAGTGGTCCCCCTGGGAGAGATACGCCCAAGGCCCTGGCCCAGGGAGAGAGACCATGGCTGTTTTGTATGGATCTCGGCCTATCAATAATCAATGTTGGGCTTCCCTGGTGGCACAGTGGTTAAGAATCCGCCTGCCAATGCAGGGGACACGGGTTCGAGCCCTGGTCCGGGAAGATCCCACATGCCGCGGAGCAACTAAGCCTGTGCGCCACAACTACTGAGCCTGTGCTCTAGAGCCCGTACGCCACAACTAGTGAGCCCGTGCGCCACAGCTACTGAGCCTGCCCTCTACAGCTCGCGAGCCACAACTACTGAGTCCATGCGCCACAACTACTGAAGCCCGCGTGCCTAGAGCCCGTGTTCTGCAACAAGAGAAGCCACTGCAGTGAGAAGCTCGCGCACCGCAATGAAGAGAAAGCTGCCGCTCACCGCAACTAGAGAAAGCCCGCGCGCAGCAACGGAGACCCAATGCAGCCAAAAAATAAAATAAAATTTAAAAATTAATTAATTAAAAAAAAATCAGTGTTGTGGCTGGACCGGCCCTTGAGTTCTTATTATGACTGAAAGATGCCATTCAGCAACAACCATCAGGAAACTTTGAGAAAATAAAGGTTTATTACTTATAAATTACACAGCACACCCGGAAATTACACAGCACTCCCGGGGCCACAGAGCAAGGTCCTGGGTAGAGAGAGCAGTGTGGGTCTGGGGTCCTGCTTTCACTGGGGTCAAGGGTGGGAGCCTAAGAGTTCGTGGGCTCACTCTTTATTGGTGAATTTAACATAGGTTGGAATATAAAGCATAAGAAGAGAAAACAAAACAAGCAACCAAGTGGCCCAAGTGGTCAGTGACTGCAGTCAGCTGAGATGTGTAAAACAAAGGTGCCTCAGCGGGAGGAGGTGGCCTGGCCCTTTACCTAGTCACATTTATTGGGGAGCCATCTCTGAAGCCAATGCTTCCGCAATCAAACGTTGTCAGGCACTCATATATCATAAAAAAAAGGAAACCCAACTATCAGGGGCTCCAGTATGCTTGCCCTGACCCTGCCCTTGACCTTCTCCCTGGACCATCCTGCAGGAATGCTCTTTCCCCCTCCAAGGCTCCCAGCTGGGGCGGACCAGCGCCTATAAGGGGGATCCCCGCTGGGGCCCGGTGCCTCCCGCAGCCATGGACCCCCGTCGGCTCACCTGGGCGCTGGTGCTGCTGGGCCCGGCCTTGGCGCTCGCCCTAGGCCCTGCCCTCGCCCAGGAATCACCCGAGAAGCTGTGCGGCCACCACATCGTGCGCGCGCTGGTGCGGCTGTGCGGGGGCCCGCGCTGGTCCTCCGAGGATGGGCGACCTGTGGCCGGCGGCGACCGTGAGTAGGGGCGGGCGAGGACTGTGCTGTGAGGTCTCTGGGGCCGGGCGTGGGGCAGGTGCATGCAGACGGGTTTGCATGCATGTTCTGGGGTCCACCTACCGGCTGCGCGGGTGTGTGCAAGTCCACGGGGGATGCGCCCCCTGCCAGGAGCGGGAATCAGTGCGCGGCGAGCGACGTAAGCGAGTCTGAACAAGTGCGTAGCCAGATCAGATCCTGTCTTTATTTACAGTTTCAATATTTTGATCTTCAGGAATTTCTGCATGCCTTTTAATTTTAAAATATTCCGTGACAGTATGTTTGATCTTGGTTGTTGAGGTTTTTTGGCGCCCCCTGAAAATCGTGGGCTCCAGGCCCGAGCCTGGCTCTCGTCACCCTAGTCCCGGCGCTGGTGCAGGGAGTATCAAACAGCTTTGTGTACAACGTCTGTCACATGCGTGTGTGTCCTGTGTGTGTGACACGGGTACAGATGGGTGTGCAGAGGTGCGCAGGGAAGTGGGAGGGGCTAGGAGGCTGTGCGCCTGCATCTGTGTGTACATGTATACGTCGTATGTCACCCCTTCTGTCATCTGCTCTGTGAAGTGTCTGTGCCTTCTTACCATAGGTGACACGTGGGAGTGTGCATAGCTGGGGACTTAAGTGTGGTGTGGGTGGAGACTGCACACATCCGGATGGGGGATTCAATCTGTGCCTGGTATACACTGGGCACTCAATAAATGTTTACTTTCTGTTTCTGTGCATGATGAGTGGAGGCTGTGTGTGCAGTGTGAGTGGGGTCCTCTGGGGTCCCCCCTCTATGCTGAATTCCTCCCTGTCCCCAGGTGAGCTGCTACAGTGGCTGGAAGGACAACATCTCCTCCATGGGCTGATGGCTAGTGAGGACCCCGTGCTGGTACTCGCCCCACAGCCCCTGCCCCAGGCCTCTCGCCATCACCACCACCGCCGCCACCGGGCAGCTGCCACCAACCCTGTCCGTCACTGCTGCCTCAGTGGCTGCACCCGGCAAGACCTGCTGACCCTCTGTCCCCACTGAACCCTCCTGGGGTGTGGCCTTGGGGAAGCCCGAGACCCACAGGGGTCCAGTCTGGTGAACTCCTAATGCCACACAGCACCATGAAGCCCCATGTCTGGGGGGGGACTTTGTTGATTACCTCCTAGGACAAGGCGCTCACCACCGCACCGAGGCCACCTGTCCTCTGGGGGGCCAACTGAGGAAAACACCAGATCCCAAACTTGGCTTGGAGGATCCTTGGTTTCGTGGAGATGCCAGACACCTGTTCTCAAATGTTCTCACCTCAGAGGAGCCCCAGTTACCCCGCTCCCTGCATTTGACACCCCTCTTGCTGTCTTATCAATAGTAAATAAATAAGATGCCTACAGAATCTGAAGAAACTTTTTGCATTTTCTCAAGAAAAAGGCACAAGCCTGGGTCAGCCTTTGTGTGGAATTGTCCTCTGGCAGCCGTGGACCCACCAACACTTCCAGAAACTTAATAACAATTGGAGAATCATCACAATAAAAAGCGAGGAAACTGAGGCCAAGGGAGCTGGCTGTTTGCCAAGGTCAGACAGGGAGGGAATGGTCAAGTTCAGGATTCGAATCCAGGTCTCTGTCATGGCTCATGGGGGGCCTTAACCTCACTGAACGTCCAACACAACACGTGAATGTCTGAATGAGTCACAGTGGATTTTTTTTTTTTTTTTTTTTTTTTTGGTGGTGCTGTGGGGCTTGTGGAACCGTAGTTCCCTGACGGGGGATTGAACCCGTGCCACCTGCAATGGAAGCGTGGAGTCCTAACCACTGGACTGCCGGGGAATTCCCCTCACAGTGGCTATTTAGTGATCCAACGCTCACCATTCTTTTCACTTGCATCCTCCTTTCATCCTGAGATAGGAACTGTATTTGACCCTCTTGAAAAAAATGCTCGGGCATTTGACGATGTGATCTGTTCACGTGTGTGTTAGTTTCCTAAGGCTGCTGGAACAGCCGCAGACTGGGTGACTTAAAACAGTAGAAACTTATTCCCTCCCAGTGTTAGAGGTCAGAAGTCAGAAATCAAGGTGTTGGTAGGGTTGATTCTTTTTGAAGGGCTCTGAGGAAGATTCTGTCCCCCTGCCTCTCTCAACTCTGGGGGGGCTACTGGCAATTCTTGGCTTGTAGGTGCGCCACTCCAAGCTCTGCCCCCATTTTCACATCGTCTCCTTTTCCATGTCTTTCTGTGTGTTCATTTCTGTCTCTTCTAAAAGCACTCTCATTGGATTCAGAGCCCACCCTAATCCAGGATGATCCTATCTTGATCCTTACCTTAATTACATCTGCAAAGACTCTATTTCCAAATAAGGCCATATTCTGAGGTGCCAGGTGGTTGGGAACTTTTGTGAGATGCTATTCAACCCGATGCAGCAGGGGAGGAGCACTCTTTCCTGAGGGCAATGGGGAGACACAGAAGGTGTTAGAGCAGGGGCAGGATGAGATCACATCTACCTGGTAGAAACCCCTGCAGCCCCTGCCTCATCCAGGCCTGCCTCCTCTGGCTTGGAGGCTGCCTCAGCCTCCACCTTCCCTTTCAACAGTCTCCATGGCAGCTGCAGGGCTTCTTAAAACTTAAAAATCAATCATGTCGGGACTCCCCTGGTGGCTCAGTGGTTAAGAATCCGCCTGCCAATGCAGGGGACATGGGTTTGAGCCCTGGTCCGGGAAGATCCCACATGCCGTGGAGCAACAAAGCCGGTGCACCACACCTACTGAGCTCGCGTGCCACAACTACTGAAGCCCGTGCGCCTAGAGTCCATGCTCTGCAGCAAGAGAAGCCACCACTGTGAGAAGCCCGCGCACCACAACCCCTGCTCACCGCAACTAGAGAAAGCCCGTGTGCAGCAAAGAAGACCCAACGCAGCCATAAATAAATAAATAAATAAAATTAATCATGTCATTTCCTTGCTCCAAAGATGCCGTAACCCTCAAAACAACACCCTCTCTCCTCACCCAAACCCACAAGGCCCCATGTGACTAGTCCCTGTGATCTCCTGTCCCCTCTCCCTCCATCTCCTTACCCACCTCCAGTCACAGCTTCCTGGCTGCAATTTAAATGCTCTTGATCAGCTCACCTCAGGGCCTTTGCATATGCTGTATCCTCTGCCTGGAACATCCTCCTCCCAATTCTTCCCAAGGCCATAACCTCCTCCTTCAGGCCCCATCTCTGCAGTCCCAACCCCGACTTCCTTCCTGGCTAGCGCCCGTCCCCAACACCGTGTGTCCAATTACCTCATTTTAATTCTCCTCAAAGTTCTTACCACTTCTGGTAACTTCCTGTTTCACTGTTCACAGGTTTGTGTCCTCACTATAAGGTGGGTCAGTGCCCACTGACCTTTCCCATGGGGCTGGGAGGAGGAGTACAGGGCAAGGTGTGTAGCACACAGTAGGTGCACAATAAATACTTAAAGAGGGGACACAAGGAGTGGGACAGAGGACAGTAGAGCTGTAGCCCCAGTGAGAGGAGGTGAGCCCGGGGAAGAGAGGGGAGGCTGTGTGGTGGCGGGGCGGGATTCAGAAGGAGCCTTGCCAGAAGCAGGTGGGTCCAGCATCCCATGCAGCTAGGAGCAGTATCACCGCTGTGCCTCTCTCTCCGGAGCCTGCCATCAAGCTGGCAGTGAGAATCAGTCTGCAGGGGGGAATGTAAGCTGAGGGCAATAGGGAGCCATGGAGGGTGTGGGGGGGGCAGGGGAGGATGATGTGAGATCTGCCTGACAGACGCTTCCATAGCCTCTACTTCATCCTTGCCCTGTTTTACTGGTGTATATTTTCTTCTGGAAGTGAGATTTTAAGGATGAATGTAGACTGATCTGAGTTAAAACTTGTAAATCACTTAAAAAAACAAAAAAAAAGACCTCTAAGTCTTTGCAAAACATTTTATTCCCTGAGGACCTGGTCTCCAGTCCTCACTCTGCTGTGTGAAGCCCCCTTTGCCACTGCCCCAATCCCTGTGAAGCCTGTCTCAGACACCTGTCCGAGGGTGGCAGGGCTGGGGGGGTCACCAGTTCACTTGGATCTCCCCAGTCTGAGAGACACACAGGGGCGGGGGCCAGTCCTGGGTCCCGAGAACTTAGGGATTCCCAAGGACCTGAATATCCCCCTTCTCTGGGCACTAAGGTGTGTGTGCTGGCCTTGGGCCCAGGGAAGACCCCTCTTGCCCCAATACTCTCTCCTGTATTGTTGGGGAGCACCAGTGTGGGGCTGGGTCCTGTCAGGGACTCCAGAAACTCTGAGCTCCCATAGCCTGAGATAGCTCCCTCCCTCCTCTGCCCAATGTTTCCAGCATTAGAGCACTTGAAGCCACAAGCAGGGAGGGGGTGGTCCCATTCCCAGACTCTCTGGCCCCTCCCACCATCTGAGGGGTCCAAGATCCAGGGAGGGGTGGAGAACAGAAACCCTCTCTTCCCAGCTGAAAAATCCTTCTTGCTTCGGCTGCATGTGGACCCAGGTGTCCTCAAACCATTGCAGGAATTCACCCACCGTCGCAGGTTCACAACCAAGGAGAGGCTGGTCACTGCTTAGGCTTCAGCCCACGATCAAGGTCAGGGCTAGGAAGTGGGACATGGAAAAGGGATGGATGCAGCAGCAGCAGCTGGGGCCCTAGCAGAAGTGCTTCTGCCATTAGCTGACATGGAAAGAGATGGTCCTTCCAGCTGAGAGTCTAGGGAGGATGATGGAACACGGTCTAGGCAGTACTAGGTGAGTTTTGAAGGATGTGTAGGAATTCACCAGCCAGACTCATCCAACCTCCCTGGTACTCTCCTAGGTCCTTCCCACTTAGGAGGACAAAGGTCTCAGCTTCCGGGAAGGAAGCTGCTGCCCTTTCTATGGGGATGGAGACAGTAGCCTCGAGGCTGGGGGCCCTGACTCCACCTCTGTGTAGATCTGTGTCCACTTGTCACAGGTGAGGTTGGGCTGGTTCAGCACGTCCCACATGAGCAGCATCTCGTAGGGCAGGAAGCGGTGCACCAGCGGCAGCTCTCGGTAGAAGCAGGGGTCGAAGGAGGACAGGTGGCTGGAGGGGGCCTGAATACCGGCCGTGAGGATACCACTGTGTGAGGCCCTCCTTCTTTTGGCACATGCCCAGGAAGACATCATCAATGGGGAAGAGGTCCAGGGCGGGGGTGTGTGGCACAGGGCGGTGGCTGTGAAGCGGGACAGTAGGAAGCCACCACCCCTGCAGTAGGGCGGGTAGTGTTCCTCCTCTGTCACCACCTTCGGCACACAGTACTTGCTCCAGGGAAGGCGGACGGGGCACACACTGTGGGTCAACTGCCCCACAGAGAGGTGGTGGTCAGGGTTGTCACCCTGAAGGTAGGTGACCACGTTGTCTGGGTGGGCAAAGACGTCATCATCCCAGTTGAGCATAAAACTGGCATGTGCATCGTGTCTTCTGCCACTGTAGGAAGAGCACCTGCAAGGGGGGGTGGACAGGGCACACGGGCTTGATGCCTGGGGCCATCAGCTTTGGGTCCCTGTCGGCCACCCCAGCCCAGTGAGGCCAGGCAAGGATGTGTTTTCTAGTCAGGCTATTCTGGGTTAAAGGACTCACTCTGTGGTCTTTTGCAACCAACTGCCCCTCTCTGTGCCTCAGTTTCCAACTTTCCAGACAGGACACATCATGGGAACTGCCTCCAGGAGTGTTGGGGATCTACAGAGATGATGCTCCGTAAAGCACCAAGAAGTGCTTGAAAATTGTCACATTTACATTTATTGCTATTCCTTCTGACTCTGCCTTGCCAAGCACTACCATTAAATAATTACTTGTATGACTGTTATATAACATCTACCTCCCCCACCAGACTCTGGGGTCCCCCTGGGTGGGAGCTGTGTCTCTCCTATGTGCCATCTCTTCGGCACCCATTATGGGGTCAATACTTTGTAGGCACTGGATTCATGTTTGTCAAGTTGATGTTTATCACATGCTTTTGTGCTCTGCGTTAAGAATGTGGCATGTGGGCTTCCCTGGTGGCACCGTGGTTGAGAGTCCGTCTGCCGATTCAGGGGACACGGGTTCGTGCCCCAGTCCGGGAAGATCCCACATGCCACTGAGCGGCTAGGCCCGTGAGCCATGGCCGCTGAGCCTGCACGTCCAGAGCCTGTGCTCCACAACGGGAGAGGCCACAACAGTGAGAGGCGTATGGCAATAAAAACCAAAACAAAACCAAAAAAAACCAAAGAACGTGGCATGTTAAGAGGTTCTGGGCCCTCTACCCACCTCGGCTTCAGCTACCTCCATAACTTTGGCTGCATGCTAGGCACTGTACTCAGTGCCTGCTCTACCTTGAATCCTTCATACAGTTTTAAGAGGCAGGTGTGGTCTTCAGTCCCATTTACAGATGAGGAAATAGAGGCTCTCCAGAGAAAGTGCCTTGAGCAAGGTCATACAACAGAGAAGGTCTGTTGTTCAAAGTCTTGAACCCAGACCTGTCTGTACTTACTATGAGCAGGAACCTGCACTGGGCCCCTTTCAACTTGTGTTACTCAGCTTACTCCATCCCCACCCTCCACATCCTGGGTAGGTCCTTGGAGCCTTCAATTCCTCCTCTGAGCATGGGCAGGTTTCTGTCTACCTCTCATGGTTTCTTTTCCATCAGAAAGGTCTTTGTTGAGTATCTTCCACACAGACCTGGGCCTCATGGGGAGACAGAACCAGAACAAAGAAATAGGATGTGTTCTGTCCAGCTCTCCCCATGCACCATTGCCAATGTTATCTGAGCACCTGGCACTGGTCCAGGTGCCTTATGAATATCATCTCATGTAATCCTCACAGCAGCCCTCAGAGATGGGTGAGTTCAATTAATATCCCATTTCCCTGATGAGCAAACTGACGCCCAGAGAGGTGAATGATCGTCCATGGCAAACAGCAGATAAGCAGCAGAGTCTGGATTTGAGCCCAGGTCATCAAGGCTTGGAAAGCCAGGCTTGTAAGTCCTTCCTCCCTGCCTCCCTTGGACAAAGAAGACTTCGGATCACCATGAGGACAGGGGCGAGGTTGGGGCGAGGTTGATGGGAGTTTCTGGTCCCCAGAGCTCCTCAGAGGAGATGGTAGCAACTTTGGACAGGAAGGAGAGGTGGCCCCAATCACGTGACACCCTCCCTCCCCCAGCCCACCTGTTTGAGCGTGAGGTTGAAGAATGAGTCGTAGAAATCCCACTGCAGGATGTCACCGTGCATCCGCGCCTCCATGGCCTACAGCCGGTTGACCTTGCGCGTCTCCGGCGGGTTGGGGTCCGTGCCCACGAGGAAGAGGCGGCGCAGCTGGACGCCGTGCACCTGGCGCTCACGGCCCCACCTGAGCCACACCAGCTCCCGGTGCTCGTAATTGCTGGGCGAGGACTTGATCACCAGCAGCAGAAAGACTGGCTGCACGCACTTGTCAGGCGGCACGTCCTGGAGCAGCACGACATCGCGGCAGTGTTTGTACAGCAGGAAGTTGCGGATGTGCTGCGGCTGCCTGGCGAAGTCCGGCAGGGCGGCCATGGAGGAGTTGGCCAGGCAGGGGGTGGGCGGTGGGCGGGAGGGTGGCGAGGGCCAGACCAGAGCCACGGGGGTGCCCGGTGGCTCCTTCAGGCCTGGGCAGGTGGGTGGTGACCTGCAGATTGAAGAGAAGGAGGAGGGTGAAGGTGCCCAGAGCCACAGCCAGGCCCAACTCTGTCCGCAGGTGCCGAGAACACCTCATTCTGGTCCGCCTGAGTTTGGGATTGGTCCGAAGAGACCCCTGGGCAGCTCCTGCAGACAATAACACTCACTGAAGATGCCTGAAGATGCCAGATGGGCCAAGCACTTTTCCAGAGCTACCTGTGGACCTCAACACCTGGTTGCAGCCCTACGGTTGCTCAAGTTGGAAAAATACTGAAATTCACCCCCAGAGATTCCCCCGGCTCCCACCTCCTCCAGTACCCCATGTTGGCTCTGACTGTTGCCCAGGTCCCACCGGGGATCAATAGTTACAGAGAAAACAGGCATGGAGATGCCAAGGTGAGCCTCCCAGATTCAGTGTGCCCAGAATCCCACCCCCCCCATCCAAGCTGGTCCTCTTTATGTCCCTCTCTCAGAGATGGCCCAGGAGCCTCCCCGAGAGAGGCAGAGAACTCCCTTTTTAGCAGTTGAGAGCTGCTGGGATCCTTCCTGCTTCCCTTTTCACTTGCTCCTCCAGGAAGCTCTGAGCTTCTGGGATTCTGATATAACCGTCACTCATTCGTCTTGACTATTTTTAATGGTCCTGTGAGCTGAGCGTGGGCCCTGGCTCTTCACAGAACCCTCAGGCCCAGCATGTCTCAAACAAAGCTATCTTCCTTGGCAAACTCCTCTTCCTCCTTTAAAACCCATCTCAAATGATCCATTCTCTGGGTAGTCCTCTTGGACCTCTCAGGTCCAAGACCTCTCAGACCTCCTGGTCTCCTATTTAGCCCTGTCTCCCTCTCTGGCTAAGTCATTGAAACAGCAGGGAAGGGGGCAGGGCACAACCTTTGAAAGAATGACATAGCCCGCAGACATGACATAAACTGACTAGAACCAGATGGCTCCAGGATGGCAGACAAGTCAACTTCCACTAGACCTTGAGCCTCAGTATACACTCACTGTTAACACATCAGCAAGCTAAATGACACTATAGGCACCGTGACAGTTCCAAGACCTACCATAAGGATCAAAAAGTGGGCGGTGGCCCAATTCTTGGAAATCCCCGCCCTTTCCTCTAATAGCTGAATACTCCTCCCGCTCATTAGCCTATAAAATTACCCACCCCTATAAAAACTGATAACCCCATACCCTGGTGCCTTTCTCACCTGATATGGTGTGTGATCTCAGTAGGAAGACTGTGGGTTTTGGCCGGGTTCGAGTCCAAGTGTCAGTCTGGGTTTAGGCTGGGTTCGAGACCCAGCACGTGGTTTCAAGTCCCAATCTGAGGTGTACGGTTTCATCATGATCTCTAACTTTTTCGTCCCAAGACCGGGGGCTTCTTGAGGGTCCTGGCATTGCCCAGCATGAGGCAAACACATGGGGGAAGCAGAGAGTGTCTGAATGAATGAATTTATGAATAAAAGTAAATTCATTAAGTTTCTCTCTGGCACACTTGTTTTGGGTGGGGGGGGGTGTGAAGTAGAAAAGAAGAGCTTTATTGCTTTGCCAGGGAAAAGGGGGAAGCAGCAGGCTCGTGCCCCTCAAAACTGTGTGTCCCAACCCAGGAGGGTTTGGCAATGGTTCAAGGGCAGGGTTGCTGATAAGGATTAATCCTCCTTTAATCTGGTCTCAGGTGGTCTTTTCTGGAGTGAAGAATGCTAACATTTTCCATTTGTTGGGGGTTTTAGTTCTGGTCTCAGGATTTAACAAAGCTCAGGTTCTTGATGTCTCGTCACAAAGAATTCGGTGAGAGACAAAGTGATAGGTAAGAAGTGGATTTATTTAGAGAGAAACACACTCGACAGAGTGTGGGCCATCTCAGAAGGTGAGAGCAGCCTGGCACACTCTAATTTATCCATCACCCCCCCCCCCCCCCCGCAACCCCGCCTGAAGATTTCCTTTCCCATATGTAGGCAGAGCCTTTGGTCTCCTGTCCAGATCCCTTTCCCAGGCTTCCCCGGACTCCCTCAATGTCATTTTGTCTGGAAAGGTGGTATCTGTGCTGTGTTCCAGCCCTAAATTTGAAGATCTATCTTCCAGCGCAGCATGAAAATGCCAGATTACACCCAAGGCAGAACTTACCAATTCAGTAAACACTTATTGTCTCACCTCAGAGAGGCGCCCTCTGGAGTCCAACTCCTGGGTTTAAATCCCAACTCCATCACTCCCTGGCTGTGTGCCCTCCATACTTAAGGTCTCAGTTTCCTCAGTTATAAAGGGGGCATCTGAGCAACTCACTAGGTTGTGCAGGTGTGAAGGGAGTTCTCGGCACCTGGTACCTAGTGGGTATTCAACAAGTATTTGTTGAATGAATATGTGAACCCCAGCACTTACCTAAGATTGCCTCAGGATGTCTGTGCTCGTCTGGGTTCTCCTCGCTCTCGCCTCTGGCACCTAAAGCACTGTGGGGTAGTCAGTGGATTCTATTAGGCCCCTCGAGCTCCAAGCAACCCCACCCAGCAATTGCCTGGGAGCAAGAAGAGAGTAGTTTCCCATTTTATCTAGAGCCACAAATGGGTGCTGGTGCTGGGGACAGAGGCTCCTTCCCTGATCCATGAGGCCATTTCCCCAACGTGCCCATCACTGTCTTTGCACACTGCCTGGCCAAGGTCTCTCCAGCCAGGTGTCTCCCCAAAATGGGGCTCAGATCCCACTCCACAGGTTCTGCTGTGTGACCTTGGGAAAGAAGCTTGACCTCTCTGAGCTTCAAAGTAAAATGGGAATTAACCCTATGTAAAAGTGTGGTTGGGATTTTAACCTCAAACATGCTGAGCACGGTCCTGCCTCAGGACCTTTGCACAGGTTGTTTCCTCTGCCTGATTCTCCAGATTTCTATACAACTCCCTCCTCCCCCTCCTTCTTGTCTTTGCTCAAATGTCCCCTTCTCAGGAACACCTCCTCAGGACACACCATCGCACTGGCAGCCCTGATCCCCCACCCTAGCCTACTTTTTCTTTCTTCCACAGCACTTTTCACCTCCTAAAATAAAAACTTAAAAACTGGGGCTTCCCTGGTGGCGCAGTGGTTAGGAACCCACCTGCCTATTCAGGGGACATGGGTTCGAGCCTTGGTCTGGGGAGATCCCACATGCCGCGGAACAACTAAGCCCGTGTGCCACAACCACTGAGCCTGCGCTCTAGAGCCCACGAGCCACAAGTACTGAGCCTGTGTGCCACAACTACTGAAGCCCGCGCGCCTAGAGCCCGTGCTCCACAATAAGAGAAGCCACCGCAGTGAGAAGCCGGCACACCGCAGCAAAGAGTAGCCCCCGCTCGCCACAACTAGAGAAAGCCCGCGCGCAGCAACGAAGACTCAACGCAGCCAAAAATAAATAAATAAATAAATTTAAAAAAATGTACTGCTTCTCATCTATCTTCCTCACCAGAATGCAGGCTTCCATGCAATAAGTCTTATTCATCATTTTATCCCCAGCCCCTAACTGTGCTGGGTGCGGAGTAGGCGCTCAGTAAATGTGTGTTGAATGAATGAATGAACAAACGAATGCTGGGATGCCACAGCATCTGAAAAAATATTGACTCTTGGGACTTCCCTGGAGGTCTGGTGGTTAGGACTCCGTGCTTCCATTGCAGGGGGCACGGGTTCGATCCCTGATCGGGGAATTAAGATCCCGGAAGTTGCATGGCGTGGCCAAAATATATATATATTGACTCTCAGAATGAATTTATACATTCATTCATTCGAGCCAATATTTACTGTGCTTCTCCTGTGTGCCAGGCACCTCCCGGGAGCGGGTACACAGTGGTGAACAGGCACGGGATACCTCAATGTCTCTGCCACTCTGGGACCCACATGCTTGAGGGGGAACAAACACTAAATAAAAACCTCAGTGAAGAGATACAAGGGGATGAATGCCACGGGAGGAAACGAGGTTGGGTGGCGGGTATGGATTTTGAGGTCTGGATGACACTTAAGCTGCGATGTGAATGGCACAGAGGAGCCATCATGGCTGAGGGTCTGAGGGAAAGATCCCCAGGGAGGGAACAGCAGGTGCAAAAACCCTGAGGTGGGAATGAGCCGGTGGAGTCCGAGCAGCTGGGGACCCTGTCTGCGGGTGGCACAGAGCCTGTCTTGTTTCCATGGCGTCCCTGGGTTAGCTGCCAGCCTCAGCAGGTGGTTCACCATCTGGAGGGTTTTTGGAGACCCAAAAAGGCAAATCATCATCTTGAGAGGAGACTGTGAACTGAAAAATGATGCAAGAATGAACAGAATCCTAGAAGGACATTTTCCTGAGCTGAAGAGGGGCCCGAGTCCAGAGTGGACCACAAGAAAGCAGCGTTCCCAGGTGAACCTGGCAGATCCCTGAGCTCCGAGGACAGGAAAAAACTCAAGAGCTGCAGTAGAAAGCCCAAGTCACCAAAAATAAGACCAGAGATGTCACAACATTCTCTTCGGTGACACTGGTGGCCAGAGACCCACAGACGCTGGAAGACAAGGGTGTGCCTGGGACCCTAACTTCTGGCTAAGAGACACGCTCATTCAGAATCCCATGAAAATTTAGAGGGTGATTCACCCCCTACCCCATCTGCAGTTTAGAGTCTAAATCAGTTTTCAATCAGGGGTTATTCTGCTCCCACGGGATACTTACTGGGCAATGTCTAGAGACATTTCTGGTTATCATGATTGGGGCAGGGTGGAGATATGGGACTGCTAATGGCATCGAGCAGGTGGAGGCCAGAGATGCTGCTTAAATTAACATCCTATAGGGCACAGGACGGCCCCATGACAGAAGATGATCCAGCATTTTCAAGATTGAGAAATCCTGGTCTAAATAAACACAGAAACCAGAACAGAGAACTCAAAAGGAGGAAGGATCCAGAGAGGAGAATGAGGGACTGAACAAAGAAGCCTGATATATAGGTTTAGTTAAGTTCATTAGACGGAGTATTTATTTCTATTTAAATAGAAAATCAAACCTAAATGGCCAAGGATCTGTTGGCTGGGAATGTGTTTAGTGCCAAACAAGAGCTCCAAAACAAAGAAAGATACCTCAACAAATAGAAATATTTACAACTCAGCCAAACCTGGACATTGGGGAGGGGAAGGTGTGAGAAGAGGTAAAATGACTAAATGGGTCATATCACTGGGATCAGGGTATCTGGGCGAAATAGAAGCTCTTGGGGGTGGCCATTTGGTTTTAATTAAATCCATTAACGCCTGTTCTTTTCCTTGCATTTTCTTTCTTGTTTATTTGTAAGATCCCTTTGCATATGAAACACTTAATCTTTGTTGGCTACCTGCATTCCCAACTTTTTCTTGCCAGGTCTCTGGTTTCTTTAAATGGAGGGATCTTACAGCGACTTCACCCTCCCAACCCCCATAAGGCTCCTGACTGGGGTCTGAGAGCTCAAGTTGGGGGTGGAAGGGATGGAGGCTCACGTCCCCTTCCCCTTACACTAGACCTCTATTAATGCATCCCAGATCCCCTTCCCTTTTCCAGCCACCAAGGCTACCTCCACCCCTAACTCATGGCCCCTTAGAACTTCAAGCGGCAAATGTTTCCAAACTCACAACATCCCACATCCAGACTGGCATAAAAAAGAAACTCCAGGCCCCGCTTTCAGCCAGGCTGAAAGTGCTGGGGATTTACTGGTCCAGGATACCTTGCTGGGTGTCTCAGTGGGCTGTATCCCAGGTAGTCCCCAGCCTCTCCTTACGGGCCTTACTTTCTAAATGGGCTGGGACCTCACACCTACCGTGGGAAAAGCTGAGGCTTACGGGCTCCACTTAGCCAAGGATGGGAAGCCTCTTAGTATTACTTCCTCCTAAGCGACTGTGCGGCAGCTCTGGGGACTTTGCTGGTGGGGCTGTATGGCTGGTGAGAAGTTCCTCTCAGGTCTGCTTTCGATTCCCTGACCCCACACAAGACTCTCCTGTCTACCCTCTCCAGTTCTGGAAGGATTGGGCTTGTGGAAGCCCAAATAGCTGCTCACTCTGAAGTTTGTGGGGTCTGAATAACTCTGGAGGAATCCCCACCCCCATTTCATAGCTGGAGAAATGAAGCTCAGAGAGTCGTCCCAAGGTGGCCCAGTGGGTGACTCACATTACCACAGAAATCCACAGTATCTCCAAGTCCTTCAGCTCTGAGAAGGGTCTCAGTGGCTCTTATCTCAAAACACATATATGAAAACTATTCATTCGTTCAACAAATAGGTTCTGGAGGAATTGAGAAGCCTCAACCCTGGGCCTGGCCCCCAGAAGCCCTCAATCTGGGGGAGACAAGTCCAGACACCTGTGGGATCAGGGATGGGCCAGAAGAATGGATCAGGATATTGAAGCTGAGGTTTTGAAGGATGCATATGAGTTCACCAAGGGGAGTTCAGGTAGCAAAGAGAGCAAATGCAAAAGCAAGGAAGGGAAAGAAAACAAAGCCTATTGAAGGAATCATGTGTAGTTTATTTTGCTGAAAAGCAGAATTTGGAGAGGGGTTGATTTCTGAGGCTAAGAGGTGGGGCCAAACCCTGTAAAGACCTTGAACGCCAGGCTGAGTAGTGGGGCTGTTTCCTGGGGGCATGGGCGAGCCATGGAGGTGTGTGACCAGGAAGCAGAGAGGTCAGATTCCTTGTTGAATGGTACCTCTTTGCTCTGAGTTGACCTTGGTGAGTCACTTCCCCTTGGGAGTCTATTTCCTCATTAGCACATGGAAGTGCTGAGAATACTCCCTGCCCCACAGACACACAATGGGTCACTCCATATTGAGTATTAAAGGGCTTGGCATACGTTGACTATGCGATGACAACCTCAGTGACCTTGGTTCATTGTCCTGGCTCCTTTAAGTGCCCCCACTTACAGATGGGGATACTGAGGCTCAGCATAAAGCAGGAGTGTCTATGAACATGTACGAATCCAACCGTTTTACTTGTTGCACTGACTTGTGGGCCATAGAGTATTTACTAAGCACCTACTGTATGCAGGGTGCAGGGGACATAGGCATGGCCAAGCCAGCCCTTCTTTTATGATATTAATACATGAGGAAGTGATTTGTTTAGTCGCAGCTGCGATAAATGCTGTTGAAGAAGGAGGGATCCCTGGCAGGGGAGGGACCTGACCAGCCTGGGGACATCCTGAAGGATGAAGGGAAATCACCTGGGCAGAGCCCCAGGGGACAGGCATTCTAGGCAGAGGGCACAGCAAGTGCAAAGGCCCTGAGGTGGGCACAAATTTAGGTTATCAAAGGGAGAGAGAGGAGGCGGTGTGGTTGGAGAAGTGGAGGAGGAGGGAGATACAGGCAGGGTTGCCAGATGATGGTGGGGGAGGAACAGGAAATGGGGCAGACCACAAAGCAGCTCTTATGTTGCAGGTGAGGCGCAATGGGGAGCCATGGACGGTGTGTGAGCAGGGGAAGGACAAGATTGAGTTACGCTTTGAAGAAGTCCCCCGTGGGGCCACTGAAGGGGAAAACGCGATCAGGGCAGGAGTTAGAGGCCAGGGCAGCAACCAAGAAGAAGAATTTGGGGACCTGGATAGGGGCTGGCTGGCGGGGTACAGGGACGTGGGTGAGTTCAGCAAATAAGATGAAGGGAGTCATCAATATTTAGAGCCTGGGACTTCCCTGGCGGTCCAGTGGTTAAGACTCCATGCTTCCACTGAAGGCAGCACGGGTTCGATCCCTGGTTGGGGAACTAAGATCCCATATGCAGTGTGGCGTGGCCAAAAAAAGAGAAAAAACATTTAGAGCCCGGATGTGGGGGACAGAGAAGGATGGACCAGGGAGAACAAAATGTGAGAAGTCTCTGAGCCTTTCACGAGGGGCCGTTATGGGGCAGCAGGCGACCCAGGCGTGGTGTCTGGGCGAGAGCCTTCGGGACACGATGCCATGTAAACCAGGAAGATCCATCAGGCATGTGACGGATGAACACATCCATATATTGCTTGCATGTGGCAGGGCCCCCTCCATGCTCCTCCCTACAGACAGTAGTGCCACGGCGTACAGAGTCACAGCAGTGATGTCCGGGCTGACTCTCAGGGCCCATCACCCAGTCCCCCCACTGCAATACCGGCCAATCCTGCTCGGGGCTGTTTGCCCTCCATGCACTGTTGCAACTTCACCATCACTCAGAGCCTGCTTCCTGCAGCGCACATAGCAAAACCACTAGTTTTTGTTGGCTGCAACCCCAAAGCCTCCCCCTGGGGTGCTCTCAATCTCCTTCTCCTCCCGCCCCATGTCCACTGCCCCCTTTCCTCCACTCTTGCCACACCAGCCTCTTCACAGCTCCTTCAAACACCCAGGCTCAGCCCTGCCACAGGACCTTTGCACCTGCCTTTCCTTCCACCTCGGACGCCCCTCTCTCCCGCTCTACCCCCTGGTTCTCCTTGATCTTCAGGTTTCCGCCCAACATCATCTCCTTAGAGACGCCCCAACCTCCCAGCTAAAACACCCCACCCCGGCTCTGCTTTCCTCTGCTGCTCTCACCACCATTAGACAAAACTGCTCACTTCCCTCCTGTCCATCTCCCCAGCCTGCCTGGAGCTCCGGAGGTGGGGCCCAGCATCTTGGCCCTCACAGCTCTGTCCCCAGTTGGTGCTCACTGCTGTTCGTTGCATGAGGAAAAATGCTAACGATGACTCACATATTGGCTACTTCCTTGAGCCTCACTTCAGGCTAACCCCGTTCTAGGCAGCAGCTGCCGCTGTCCCCTACCCGGGACCTTGGGGATGCAGGTGATTCAGTCCTGAGGAGTCAGCAAGCACATCCTCGGAGCCAAGGGGGCAGGACCAAGAGGCACTGAATATTCCTGACTCCGAACACTCCTAATGTGCTCAAAGGGCCAGATATTCACGGCACTAAAATATTCAGGATGCATTTAATGAGCAAGAAGCACTGAATATTAGTGAGGTGCTGAATATTCATGACCTGTTAAATATGTAGGAGGCACCCAGCATTTATAATATATGAAATACTTATAAGGCAACAATGAATAGTGGCAAGGCACGTTTGTGACGCATGAATGAATATGCATATTATCACAATGAATATGATATGAATGAGGCACTAAACAGCCCTGAAGAGACACCGTCACTGAATAGTCATGATTTGTTGCATATATATACACACAGTACTAAATATTAATAACCCACTGAATATTAATGAGACACTAGATGTACGGAAGGGGCTGACCCCTTGGCAGAATTAATTAGGGACCCCCGCTGGTGACAGGGCTCTAGTCCCCCAGCCTCTGCCTACACCCCCAAGTGACAGTCAAGGTCTGTCAAGGACCCAGGCACGTATGGCTCCAGGCACCTCTGTCCCCCTCACCTCCCCTGCGGAGGCCAGGAAGGCAGAGAAGCTGAGACACATGGGGAAGTGAGAATGTCACACAATCCAGGTGGCGAGGCCCTACCCGTTAGCACCCTTGGGGGGCCTGGACCAGCCCCCCCCCCGTCCCCACCCTGCATTATTTCACGGACAGTGGGGGCTTGCCTGACACTGACTTGGAGGCCTCCATCACATCAAGGCGATTCCCCACACGATGCTCCCAATTTCCAAATGAGGAAACTGAGGCTTGGAGAGGGTGAATCTTGGGTCCCTCTCCAGGCCTGTCAGACACACACCCATGCGACCCCCTCCTTACCCCAGCTCCGGGGACCCCCCAGGCCTGGGTGCTCCCAAACAGCCCAGTCACTGGGGCTCAGTTCTTGAAGCAGGAACGTGAGGGCGGCTCGTTCCCCGCCCTCACCCAGCAGCCGTGAGGACCAAGAGAGCCGATGCTCCTAAGACAGCCACCGTGGCCCCCGGGGAAGGAAGGCCCGACCCGGCTACTGGTCATCTGTGGACTCGGGGCAGGTAGCTGCCCCCCGCCCGCTCCAGGCCTCAGCAGCCTCATCTGCGAGGCTGCCTGGCGTCAGCTGCCCGCTCACGGTTCACCCCCCGCAGGTGCTAAATAAATACGAGCTCCACCAGGGCTTAAGTTGCTCCTTCACTCCCCACCGACGCTCAGCTGGGATCTGGATAGGGATGGGGGCCTGGAACATTCTGGGGCTGCCACAAGGAGACGTGAGGGGTGGGGGGCGGTGACAGGAGAACCCCATTTGTGTGTCTAACCCCCTGAGCCCTGGGAAAGGCTAGAGGACTCAGCGGTCACCTTTTCTCCAAGTCACACATATACGAAGTGACAACAATGACCATATCAGTATCGGCGGCAGCAGCTACCGCTATCACTTGCACACTGGTCACCGCTCCGAGCTGAACGCCCTGGTCTAGGTTCTGGGCACCCAACCAAGTTGATGGAGACAAACCACCATGTGTGGGGAGCCAATGGGCTAATGGGGAACAGAGGCAGCGAAGGAGACAATTTTCCAGAAAAGGGTAAGTCCCAGGAATGAAGACCCAAGGACGGGAGCCAGGGGTGCTTGCAAGAGAGGGTGCGAACCACTGGCCTGTGGATGGGCCCCCGTGGCTCTCACTGAGCCTCCCAAGGAGGTCCCCTGTTCCAGTTCCCAAGGGGGGCAAGGTAGGCACAGAGAAGGCACCCACCTACCAGAGACCAGGTTGCTGGAATTTGAACACTGACGAGCTGGACCTGTGGGCGATCCCTCTCCGGTTCATACCAGTTTGGCCTTCCAGTAATGACGGGCTGGTCCCTTTTTACAAGGACCATGAGTTGCTTTTGTAAACAGGAAGAAAAAAGAAGAGAAAGCCCAGTAAAGATAATTCGTAAGAAAGCCTCGTTATGGGCCAACTCTGCTTACCATGTGTGTAAGTGGGTTTTATGCAAATATACGTCCAACATTCACTCTGGTGAACCCCTGGGCGTGGAAGAAAGGGTGGGAGGGGGCAGGGTGACACACACACACTTTAGACCCTTGAGTCCTCTGTTTCCAGGTCCCAGGGCTCCTAATGGATGACTCATTGGATAAGCCTGCCCTCCCCCACTGCAGGAACTGCCCGGGGTACCTAGGATGGGTCCAGGAAGGATTCTGAGGCTGGACATAGGCCCCTGATTAAATGCCAGCCCTGCCCCCAGCTGAGCCTCAAACGGCATCTCTGGGCTCATTTCCTAGATGGGGAAACTGAGGCTGGGGAGGCAGGCTGTGCATCGCAGTTCAACCTCAGAATCTTCCCATGATCCAGGGCTGATGTGCAAATTGAACCTCTGGGAACCTTCTGGAGGACCTCCACACCTGGTCAGGGCCCTCATCCAGGCTTTGTCAGACAATTTCTTTCATGCAAAGATAAATATCACCAATGAGCCACATAATCAGGGTTAGAGTTAACATGCGATATCCTGCATGCAGCCTTTCCACCATCAGCTCATCGACACTCCACACTTGCGCTGGGAGGTAGGGCTATGTTAGCCTTATTTTTATTGATGGGGAAACTGAGACACAGAGAGGTCAAGGAACCCATTCAAGGGAGGTCAAGTGGTAGCCCAATCCCTGCCTTTAACCACCACCCGGTGGGACCTCCTGTAGTCTGCTATCTTGGTAGTGAGTTCCCCTATCATGGGGGGCAATCAAGCTGAGCCAGACTCCCATCAGGTGGAGGGACCACAATGGGCATCCTCCCTGGCTCATGGGGGGTGGGGGGCAAGTTATTGCCCCACTCTGGGCCTCAGAGGCTGTTGGCAGGAAGAGAAGACGCTCAGTGACGTCTTATCTCCTCCTCCTGGGCTAACCCAGCCCAGCCCCAGGGTCCCTGGGCCAACAGGCTTGTCTGGATTCCCCAAGCTCTGGCCTGGAGCAGAGAAGCTCTAAGGCCCCTTCTCAGTTCCCCCACACCCAGAGTACCTGGCAGGAATCACTCTCTGCACCCTGGGGGTGAGGGAGAGGGGAAGGGAGGGTGTCCAGGCTGGGCTGGGCAAACATGAACTGCTCACCTAGGCTGCTAAGAGGTGGGGGCCCAGTGACCTGATGCAGGGGCCACACCTCTTCCTCTGGACTCTTCAGCCCTGTCTGTCATGGTGGCCACCTTGGGAACTGAAAGGGCAGTGGGAGAAAGTGGTAGCCCCAGGGCCAGCCCCAAATCCAGCAAACTTCCTCTGGGCCCTGAATTCCAGATCTGGACAACAGGGAGGCCCTGGCCCCAGGGGGTGGGAGGCGAGGGGAGGGGGGGAGGGTGAGGGGGGAGGGGAGGGAGAGGGGGGAGGGGAGGGCTGGCATAGAGGGTTTGGGGGGAGGGGGATGGGTCCTCAGTTTCCCCATCTGAAAAGTGGCCATGATAAAAAAATCTGACCCAGAGGGAAAGTTGGTTGAGAACCTGGAAAGGTGGCGAATGACGTAACTGTAATATACTTACGGTGATGGCTGACATTCTGTGGGCCCCACTGAGTGGCCATTGCACTTACTGACTTATTTCAGCTTCACCACAGTTCCGTATCATGAGCCCCAGTGGACACAGCAAAACTGAGGCTCAGAGACCTACAATCACTCACTTGGGGTCTTTCAGTGACCAGAAGCGCCCCCACCATAAGAGCTTCCACTGCCTAACACCTCAGGCATCCTCATGGAAGCCAGGTCATTTTGCTACCTCCCAGAGGGGACACTGAGGTGCATTCAGAGACCAGGAGCAACCAAAAGCAAACAACACAGCCAGGCACTGGCTGAGCAGGGACCGGAATGGATCCCAGAGGAAACTGTGAACTGGGGTGCCCAGGCTGGAACCTGGTCCGGCGCCTGGCAGCGCTGGGGTTCAGCAGTGGTTCCCTCAAGCAACAATAATAAACCCAACCTGGGACCCCGGGTGCTGTCCCTGCCTATACGCTCTCAATCAGTACGCTAACAACCTCAACAATAACGATAACAGTAATAGTAACGGCCAGCACATACAAAGCTCCCTCCACTCCTGGGTTCGGATCCCACCCTACCCTAGGAGGAGGATGGGAGGTGGGGGTCCAGGGTTGCTTCACCGTGTCCACGACTGCGACGGGACATTGTCCAGGATCAGGGATGCCACAGCTCCACATGGCTTCGGTCTCCCCCCATTCCCCAGGCGTGGGTAAGGCTTCCTTCCCGGCCAAGACTGAGCCGGCCTTGGGCCGCAGGAGAATACTATTACCGATGGGTGAAGGCAACAGGGTTATTGAGACCCGGGGCTCCAGGATCTCCCCGCCTCTTCAGGGTAAACGCGGCAGATACCCGACCCCAGGGACCTGCAGGGGCTTCCCTAGAGCCCCAACTCCGCCCCCCACCAGGGTTCCGTTAGATCCTCCGGGGCCCCCAGTACTCACCCCCAGACAGCCGTCCAGCCTCCGACCTCTATCCCTGCTCCTCTTGGCTCGCCCTCGCCCTTCCCGGCTTCGCTGCTTCCTGCCTGCCTTCCGCCGGAGCCCCCACTCCCAGCTGGGCCGTATCTGCAGGGCCCAGTACAAGTTCTCCTGCCGGCCCCTCCCTTCGTCCCTCCCCGGCCCCGCCCCTTCCCCTCCACTGACCGCAGGGCACCACCCAGGCCGCTTCTAGCCTCCCCCGCGCCTATTCCGGCTCGTGACTCCACTTGAGTCCTGCCCACAGTCAGGAAGTGAGCTCCCCGCGGCTGGAGGTGTGCAAACAGCGCCTTTTTCGACACAGGGCCCCGGGCAGGGTTGGTCCAACGTGTGTTCGATGAAGAAATGATTAAAAGAGGGGCAGGAAAAAAAAAGAGGGGCAGGGAGGCAAGTTGAACCCAGTGGCTCTTCAAGAGGTTAGAATGTTTCAGAACCCGATGAGCTATCCTGAGACCCCAGACGTCTGGATGCCGCGAGCTGGCATTTTCAGAAGTCGGATTGGAAGATTCTTGGGATTGGGGCTGGTGAAGATTCGAACCCTGCTGTGTGCTGCGTGAGTCTCTAGAAGTTTCTGGTGTTGACACGTTAGAGTTGGGAGCTCTGGGGAGGGGGAAGATCCAGGTCCACAGGTGTGAGCCAGGTGATGGTTCAAGTCATCCCCTGTTTCCTCTCCCATCGCGATTTCTTCCCGTGGAGGAAAAGGGGCAGGTTCTGGCTGTGCCTCAGTTTCCTCGTCTGTAAAGTGGAGGAAGTAAACCCCGGTTCCTCTAGCTGGGACAGGTCTGGGGGACAAGGTCAGCACAGAGCAACTCCATGATGTACACTACAGCGGTTGAAGGGCGATTACATTAAATGTCTGCATCAAATGGGGGCATTCAGGCCTCAGAGGCTCTGGCTCATACACTTTCTTGCGGCGGCAAACCCTTGAACTTTGGAGCCCATGGACGTTTCCTGGGCTTAAGGTCTTCTCCTATCCTACGGGGTCCCCTTGGGTTTCCTGCGTTCATGAGCCCCATAAAAGAGCCGCAGTCAAACACCGGATCTGGTGGGCGTGGCTCCGCCCATCTACCTCCACATCAGGCAAGGGCCCCTTCCTGTGTCATCTCCCGGGGAACGTGAGGGCCCTGGGAGCTGGGTCACACCCAGCCCTGCTTGCAACGTGGAAACTGAGATCCGCCCGGTCAGAAGTTTGAGTCTGCTATACTGCCAGAGTGGCTTCAAAAGCGTCAGGGGGGCTTCCCTGGTGGCGCCGTGGTTGAGAGTCCGCCTGCCGATGCAGGGGACGCGGGTTCGTGCCCCGGTCTGGGAAGATCCCACATGCCACCCGTGAGCCGTGGCCGCTGAGCCTGCGCGTCCGGAGCCTGCGCGTCCGGAGCCTGTGCTCCGCAACGGGAGAGGCCACAACAGTGAGAGGCCCGCGGGCTGGAGGGAGATGGGGAATGGGGAGCGGCAGCTAATGAGAATGGGTTTCCTTTTGGGGTGATGGGAATGTTCTGGAACTAGATAGAGGGGATGGTTGACAACATTGTGATTGGGCCACTGAATTGTTTACTTCAAATAATTAATCTTCTATTATGTGAATGTCACCTCAATTAAAAAATTATCTTAATTAGGCCATTCACCCACTGGGGGTGGCCTCTGGCTGGTCACCTAATTGCTTTGTGCCCCAAATCGAAGTTTTGGGGCATCCCAGGTGTAGGAGACCAGGGCGTTGTAAACCACCAAATGACAACCCACCTGCCTGGGGTTGGCCAGTTAAATGGGGATACCACCTTCCCTCCTGGGACTCACCCTCCCAGGTAGGCACATGTCACACCAGCTCTGAATGTCCGGGCACATAAGAGGCCGCACCCAGAAAGGCCTTCTGTGTTTTAAAGGTTGCCCAGCCTCGCTGGTGACCCAAAGGAAGCAAATGAAAGCCACCAGGAGGTGCCATTTTCCCGTCTCTCATCAGATGGGCCAGAACCCAAACCCAGGTAAAGCTCAGAGGCGTGGCAAAGTGTCTCCTCACTCAGTGGCCCACAGCATGGATACGGCACCCTCGCCACTCAGCCTCAGGACCAGCAAAGGGACCGTCTTAGAAGGCTCAAGGCCACTGAGCGTGCACGCACTCATGCACCCGTGTGTGCAAAGACCTGGATGGAGGGGGCAATCCCACAGGCTCAGATGTTTGATTCTAGCTGCTTTATGGGGCCCATGAGCTCAGGGAACCGCAGAGCCCCACAGGGCGAGCGTGGACTATGAACTTGCAGCTGAGGAGCTGAGG